CTTTAGACACCTATACTATACGTCTCTAGTTCCAGCTCCTGCCAACCTAGCAGTTCGAAAGCAAGAAATTGCAAGTAGATAAATAGGTACCACTTTGGTGGGAAGGTAACAGAGTTCCGTGCGCCTTGGTGTTTAGTCATGCTGGTCACATGACCACGGAAACGTCTTTGGACAGCGCTGGCTCTTCGGCTTTGAAACGGAGATGAGCACCTGCACCGCAACCCTAGAGTCAGACTCGACTGGCTTTCGAGCAAGGGAACCTTTACCTTTTACTATACGTCTACTTTGTGAGCAGTCACTAAGTGAAGCAAGCAAGGTCTAGCATTTGGTTCAAACCAGTAATATGTGTCTGTAACTTGAATGCCCACATAGCTTCCAGCTGTAAAAGTTTCTTTCCACCTGGTTAAATGGACGAGACTCAAACTTTTCCAAAAGTCTGAAAAAGCCATAGCTCTGGTCGAAGACAGACAGACTTCTCTTGGGCTGGGGATCACCAGGGAGCTCTTATTTCCTGAGCAGCCTCCATCAAAGCTGCATTCCATGACATATTGGCAAAGGTCTAAAGTCACAGGTGTTCTCTCGGGCACGTAGCTTGATCTCTTTGCAATGACCCATATAGCTTCCAGCTGTAAAAGTTTCTTTCCACCTGGTTAAATGGACGAGACTCAAACTTTTCCAAAAGTCTGAAAAAGCCATAGCTCTGGTCGAAGACAGCCAGACTTCTCTTGGGCTGGGGATCACCAGGGAGCTCTTATTTCCTGAGCAGCCTCCATCAAAGCTGCATTCCATGACATATTGGCAAAGGTCTAAAGTCACAGGTGTTCTCTCGGGCACGTAGCTTGATCTCTTTGCAATGAAAAGGTTCTTAAAGGAAGGGGGCAGAATGGAGAATGAAATGTTTCGAAAGGTTTCTGTCTTTGTTCCTAGCTCACCTGGACTACCCATCAGCCACTGCTGCTCCTGAACCCGAACCCACAACAGAGAGTGGTAAGTCTATCAATGTATATGGAACGGAGTGAGTTAGAGAACTAGATGTGGAATAACTTAGGGTCATAGGGCTGCTAATACTCCATGTGGGGAAATTCCTGGAGATTTGGGGTGGGTGGAGCCTAGGGACGGCGGGGTTTGGGGAGGGATCTCAGCTGGGTGTGATGCCATTGCACGCCACCCCCCAAAGCAGCCATTCTCTCCAGGGGAACTGATCTCTGTGGTCTGTTGAGCAGCTGGGATTCTGGGTGGTTTCCAGGCCCCATCTGGAGGTTGGCAACCCTATACTGGGGCATGGAGTAGCTAGAGCTTGAAGGAGCAGCTACAGGAAGTGACTCAGCAGAGAAGTGGGGAGAGAGAGAGAGAGATCTAAAGAGTTCAGGACTTATTGAATGGGTAAGATTATTTAATGAAGATTTTTCCTTATCACTTCTTTGTGAGTTAACAACTACCCACTTGAAACAGAGGTTAGGAAATATGTGTCTGAGGGTGTTTTATTCTGTGATTTCGACACTGGGACGTCTTGGTGGGTATGTGAGCTAATACGTGTTTCTGTCTTCCTTTGTAGGTTAGGAAATATGTGTCTGAGGGTATTTTATTCTGTGATTTCGACTCTGGGGCATCTTGGTGGGTATGTGAGCTACCTAATACGTGTTTCTGTCTTCCTTTGCAGAAGGAACACAGTCTTCTCTATCTGAACCGCCCCCTTCACGGGTCCCCATCTCTCCTCTCCCATCTTCTCAGACACCCCATGATGGCAGAACCCTGTGGGAGGAATTCAGTTTCCTCAGTGAAGCGCGGAACCAGCCTGCAAAGGCCCGTAAGTGTTACCTGTATAGCAGACACCAACTTTGCTTCAGTGCTTTAGAAGGTTCAGGTTGCTTCACATCTGTTGTCTCAGTAATCATTGTCATAATCCTGTAGAACAGGTCTGTATCGGGCCTGCCATTTATCAAGCTGAGGTAGGGAATTACCACCCCCAATTTCTCACCCCTGAGATACTTAGGAGTTGGAGAAAAAATGGCCGCCACGTAGTGATGCTCTAGGGATTTCTCTAGGGTTGCCAAATCCCCCAGTTTGGCAGGGGTCCCCTGTGTGAGATACTTAGGAGTTGGAGAAAAAAATGGCCGCCACGTAGTGATGGTCTAGGAATTTCTCTAGGGTTGCCAAATCCCCCAGTTTGGCAGGGGTCCCCTGTTTTTGGGGGGGTTCTATGTGCTGCCAGCCAGATGACCGGCAGGGGAAGCTCCGCCCCCAAGCCCCAACACCCTCTTGAGAGAGAGGAGGGAGAGGGGTGGCTGCGGGCCACACACCTGATCTCCATTTGGAGATCGGGTGCACAGGAAACGCTAGCTCCCTCCACTTAAAGGGGCCCCTTTAAGTGCAGGGAGCTGGCGTTTCCCTGCGCACCGATCTCCGCTCAAGATCAGGCATGCGGAGAAATGCCGGCTCCCTGCACTGAAAGGGACTGCAAGGCCTGGCAACTCAGTGTGGAAGATGACCTGTCCCTCGCCCTTGCCTCCAGCCTCTGGGCCCTTGGTGCCTTCATAGGGCAGCCGGTGGGAAAGAAACCAGACCACGGCTGGTGCCTCGGTAGCAGGTCAGGGTGGTGGGCACCAAGAGCAGGCCACTTCCTCCTGCCCCTCCGCTCCACCCTCTAGGCTGACCAAACTCATTTATTCCAGGCAGGGAAACCCTCTGCCTCTGGCCGGCCCAGCCCCCAGGCACTGCCTGGCCCACAGCTGCCTGTGGCCACCCCTCTCCCTTCCCTCCTGCTTGGTGGCAGCAGCAGCTCCTTACCTTGCCGGGTCTTCCTGCTTCCAGCTGTGGCTGAGCAGGAGGGGGAGGGAGAGGGAGAGGGTCCTTGAGATGCTGGCTGCATAAGCAGGAAGACCTGGAGAGGCCGCCCGGCCCCCTCCCTCCTGTGTGAAACCAAGGTCCCCCTGCCCACATCAGGAAGGGGTTGGGCACATCTGTGGGGGGCATAGCCCCCTCACCCATGCTTAGCTATGGGCCTGCTAGGGGGTCACCCAGAAGTGATGGGTCTGCTAGAGGGTTACCCAGAGGTGACACAGCGTCCCCCTCAAACCTGCTGTCTTCAGTCACTGCCCACCCAAGTCTCCCTGCATTTTTCAAGGCAGTGCCAGGCACCCTGGTAGGTATTATCATTGCAAATATTATTATTATAAGCAAAGGGAGAATGGAAGGAATGGAAGGCAGTGTAATGTAGCCTGATCTTGTCACATTTTGGAAGTTAAGCAGGGTCGGTATTTGGATGGGAGACCAGCAAGGAAGACTGTAAAGAGGAAGGGAATGGCACAGAAGCTCTGATTCTCATTTGTCTTGAAATCCCTTTGCCGGGGTTGCCATAAGTCGGTTGTCACTTGGTGGCATTTATTTTTGTATGAGGAACGGGGGCAGGGGGAGAAGTCATTGGGAAATTACCCCTCAATCCTAATACTGCTGTATTCTATGAGCCTTTAGAGCAGGATAATGCCCAGCTGCATTTATCTACTGTGTTTATGGAAGATGTGCCATTGGAACCAGGGACCTTCTGGTTCCTGGTTAACCCCTGAGTCTCTCAGCAACTATGTGTCAGCTATGCTGCCATGATAGTTCAGAAGGCCAAAGGCTTCCCTTTTCTGTTAATTACTGCTGCATTCCTTCTGTGCTTCATCTGTGCAGTAACATTGTTATCTCTAAGTTGCGCAGGTGGTGTAGTGTCTGAAGCTTTGGGAAAACCGTGGGAGCGATATCGGTTCCCAGCTTCTGTTCTAACGGTCTGGGGCTCCTTCTCCCGCGCAGGGGAATATGGCTAATTGGCCTATGGAAGGGGTGTGTGCATATGAATGCCCTATATCCCATTATGCTTGTAGGGGTGACACCATTCTTAACAGGGCTTCTGTTAAAGAATCTATAGCTCTTCAATAAAGTATAGCCTTTCTGATAAGCGTGTACTCCGTTGTTGGCTGTGGAACCTGACACTATGTTGTCCTCAGCAGATTGTGCCTGGGAGAGATGTCACAACCATGCAAATAGCTGCAACTTCCTTGATTGGCTAGAAGAGTGGAAGGCGGGAGCGGCCAAAAGCCCAGCCAACCAGCTCATCCAATCATAAACCAAATGGTTGACAAATTTGCTGCCCCTTAATAACAAATCTATGACTGGCTGCCTCAACCTGCCTAAAATTATGGCCAGGCCTGGCTGGGCATGACTTGAAAAGCCACACTATGTATAATTCTGGTACTGTGTGGTCAGATCTACTGATACGTGCCTGGCCTTAAAAAGCAGCAAGTGGGGGCAATTTGGATCAGGGGCAAAGCACTGGGGCAGCAGTGAGGGGAGGTTAATTCTTTCCTCTGCATTAGTTCCCAGGTTAAAATATCTCACACTTGAGCTGTTATGGATCCAGGCGTGTGGGGGGGGGGCAGGGGGAGGACATGGATTCGTATTATACCATTCTTTTTTGTGGAAGGGTTATCAGGAGATGAAAGACATTACACCTGGGAAACTTGCAAGAAGGTGCCAATCCAGATGCTTCCTAAGCTTGGAGCCCACCTTAGAAAGTTTGATTATGGTACTCCTGTGCAAAGTGTCATTTGGCTCTGAATATCCCCATTTCTTTTTCTTTTTCTCTCTCTTCAGATACCCAGTTTATCCATAGCTGCAAAGAGTTAACATCTGCAGTGGTCCACCTCACGGAACAGTTTCAGAAAGCATTGCTTCAGATACGGCAGAGGACTTGCACGGTTCCCAGAGAGATAAAGAAGCCGTAGAGGAGAAAGCCAGATTTCAACCCCCTTCCTCATTAGTTTTGATTCTTTGGCATGGTTGCCCATTCTTGTTTCAGGGAGGACTTCTCGTTGACACCAAAGTTTTAGGGGGGAGGAAATTCATCCATTAAAAATAATGTATTTTTCAAAAATCAAATAGTCATTGATTCTGTGAGGCTACCAATTATTTGATGGGCAGCAAGGTTTCAGCAAAGAATGATTATTCAAATCACTTGGAAGAAATTATTCCTCCCCCACCCCCATGGAGTGGTGCTCTGCTGAACAAAAGATGACCTTGCATAATAACACATGTGAATAGGCACCCAAGATACACAGACATTCCAAGAAGAAGAAGAAGAGATTGGATTTATACCCCGCCCTTCACTTGGAATCTCAGAGCAGCTTACAAACTCCTTTCCCTTCCCCTCCCCACAACAGACACCCTGTGAGGTGGGTGGGGCTGAGAGAACTCTGACACAAACTGCTCTTTTTCAAGGACAGCTGTGCCAGAGCTTGTGACTGACCCAAGGTCACATCATCAGGTGTAAGTGGAGGAGGGGGGAATCAAACCCGGTTCTCCCAGATTAGAGTCCACGCACTTAACCACTACACCGAACTGGCTCTGCTCATAATGTGTATGTTCTAGGGAGCAACAACGTGAACATGCCCTAGAGCAGTGGTTCTCAAACTTTTTGCCATGGTGACCCTCCAGTCCAAATTTACTCAGCATGGTTACCCACCAGTCCAAATGTGCTTGGCACGGTGACCCACTTAAAAAATTAAAGCATGCACAAAGCAATAAAACAGGACAAGTTTGAGGCCCACTTTCATGAGCATGGGGACAGACTTCTGCATTGGGACCCACAAGCTGGAAAAGCCTACCCTAGAGAAATTCTGAATATGGTCAGACAGTGCAATTTTATAATGATAATAGAAGACGAAAACAAGTGTAGTTAACAGACTCAACAATTACAACTTGCCAAAAAGCTGAAGAACATGTAATAGAGAATGATGTATACAAAGCAGCTACAATGAAAAAGTACAAAATGTAAACAGTGGAGAACTGGAATGTGCTACAATGTATAAACAATGGAGAACTACTAAAAAATTCGACATTGTGTCTGGATGTTTGATAACAACGTTTCAAAGTTCATCCTTCATCAGCGTGTTGTATAATAAAATACATAACTTATTAAGAACATTACACCTTACTGAGCCCTTTGACTTCAATGGATGCTAAAGGGTGTAATTTTGTTTAGGGTCTCCCTGTAAATGATTCAGGGCTCCGGTCACATGGGCTGGAAAATGCGAGGGGGAAGCGTGGCTGTTTGCCCTGGAACAAAATAATACGTGGTTGCGCAATCAGACGTCCCATCGAGGTCCCGTCGAGGTTCTGTGGTTAGGGGGGAGGTGCCGATCACACGACCACGGCGGCGCGGCGTGATCACAGCAGAAATGGCTAGGTGCCGCTGCCGTGGCAAACGGGGTTGTGTATTTTTTTAAACCGCAGTGTGCGCATGCGCCGTTGGGTGCTTGTGCGCATTCTCTGGAGACTTGGAAAAAAATCCCCTTTTCGCGATGGGACATGGGTGGGCGCCAGATGCCACAAACTACCACCGGAAACACGATCAGACGCCCGCCCTTGCCCCACGGTTTCCGGAAACTAGTACCTCAGAGGTACTAGTTTTTTACAGCACATCTTCGGTGGGAAGCCTCGGGTTAGCCATGGGAGCTCTATGCTTTCCAGATGTTGTGGTGAGATCGCGCCCGGAAAATCCGCCTATCTTCCGTCTCTGTAGCGTGGCTAATGCTCCGTGTGACCGCAGCCCAGGAAGGTTAAAGAGAAAAGAAGGCACTAATTCACCTAAGTAAAATAAAATAGAAAATAATGTCAATCGTTTTAGCTTACCTCTCCCTATGACTCCAGGTTTTGATCCAGTTCTGGCATAAACTGTCCTGCCACATTACTTTAGAGAATCCTGGGCAGACATATTTGCAAGTTTCATGAGCATAATGAAAATGCAGATCTTGCACAAGTAAAGTCAGTCACATTATAACTCTGTCAGCCACTAGATGGCGGAACAGGTTTGAACCATTCTGCTTAGGAACGGCCAGAAGACGACTAATGGGTGTGCCCATCACTAACCCTGTCCTTGCCTTGCTGAAAGGAAGTGATGCAAATCTGGAAAAGTCTGGTGCTGGCTCTGGAAAGCCAGAGGCTTTGGGGTGGACAAACTGCCATGTATTGAGCGGCTCCCAGCAGGGTGGCTGGGGAAGTAAAGGGGGGGGGAATGCCTCCCTGATCAGTCTTCCCTTCCCCAGCCAGTGTTCCCCTCCTTGGGTAGGCTTGAGGTTTGGGGGGAAGCAGAGAAAGAAAGCAACTTTAAATGTGTTCTCAAAGGACCTCCGAGTCAACTTGGAGAAGACATTTGGCTCTTTAAATCCCGTTTCCATGCCGGCAGGCATGGGGGCATTGGGGTGTGTGTGTGTTTGGAGAGCATATTTAAAGTTGCTTTCTTTTCATCCTCCCCCATATATTTGCTTTCTTTTCACCTTTCTCTCTCTCTTTCTTCCTCTTTCTTTGTCTCTCTCTCTTCCTTTATTCCTTCCCCTCCCTCATCTATTTGCTTTCTTTGTCTCTCTCTCTCTCCCATCCTCCCTCCCCCTCCCTCCATCTATTTGCTTTCTTTGTTTCTGTTTCATTGTCTCCTTCTTTCCACCTCTTTCATTCTTTCCACCTTTCCCTCCCTCCCCCCTCCCCATCTATTTGCTTTCTTTCTTTCTCTTTCTCTCTCTCTCTCCCCCCTCCGTCCCTCCCACATCTATTTGTTTTCTTTCCACCTTTCTTTCTCTTTTTCTCCCTTCCTTCTTCTCCCTTCCTTCCTTGCCCCTCCTTCACCTGGAAGTTGGCCATCCTACTTTCACTGAACTCTGTGATCCACAGCTTCTGTCTGCCACAACCCCTGCCTTGGGCTAACATCACATTGAAGCATTTGCATCTGATGCAGTGCACTGTGACTCTTGGAAACTTCTACCCTGGGAATCTTGTTGATCTGCTGGTCCAGAATCTTGTTTTTCTGCTGAAAACCTGATTCCTGTAATAGATTGGCCAACCACTGAAAGGCAATCCGAAAAAGAGAATTTTGCTTGAAGACATAGATTCCTGATGCCAGTAACTGCAGTTCCCCTCCCCTCCTAAATATAGTTAAATATAGAAAAAGGAGAACAGTCTCTAGCTCTGCTGACTTAGACTTATATTTACTTAAAGTGTCAGTTTCAATAGTTTCATTTCCAAACTGTGAGCAGTACCATCAAAACCATCTTCGGGACATCAGCGTTCACAGGTAAAAGTAAGTCTCCCCAATTCTGGGTGGGTTGTCTTTTCTGTTCCCAATTCTTTTCTATATTGTTTATTTAATTATTTAAGTTATACCCCGCCCTCTCCGCAAAAGCAGGCTCAGGGCGGCTTACGCAGTTTGATACGTAGGCCCCTGACACACGGGGGGAAATTGATGCGGGCAAAGTGCTGCTTTTGAAAGCCGCACCAAAAGAGACACATGGCGGCAGGATCACAGAGATCCCGTGAGCTGCCGCACAGTTGCTCCCCGGCATGATCAGATGCCGGGGAGAAAGCCACGGCTGCGCATGTGTGCGCATGTGCAGTTCAGCTGGGAGCCTCGATTGCTCCGGAAGACAGGCGCTCCGGCGCTCCGACAGCTGCGCTTGATGTGGCGTTTCCATTAAGTCCTGCTCTGTAGGTGTATTTTTTGTACAGCGGATTTTCGGCCTGAAGGGCCGGATCAGGGACGGGTGTGTGCCGCTTCCCAGATGTTGCAGTGAGATCGCGCCCGTTTGCTGCACCCCTGATCCGTCCCTCTCCCAGGCCAAAACTTTTCGTGTGACTAGGGCCATAAATAACAATTAAAAACCACATAAAATAATCTAAAAACAGTTCAATTATAAACTATTCAGTGTCATAGAGTGCTGGCAACATAGTTAATTGCTTAACGATGGTGTACTGTATGAGTGCATACAAATGTCTAACGCAATATTCTGCTCCATGATCTTCCTGATATGAGTGACGGCACAGGCTGTAGAGTCAGAAGTAACAAAAATATCACACTTTCAGAATTGCTTTATTGCCTCTCTGTTAGGAAATACTCTGCATTGCAGGTACTTCCTTCTGGATCCCCAGCTTTCATGAGAGGAAGTAAGTGTCTAGTCCTGATGATCACAGCAAAACAAAGGAACAAACGAACTAAAACCTGTGGGGAAATGGTAGTAAAGTCCTGCAAGGGTCTGATGAAGCCACAGAAGAGGACAGTTGAGATTCCAAGATCATATGCAGACCATCACAGGGATTCCTGAGAATTTCGCTATTCTTTTAAAATCCAGCTGCAAGAAGGGGAAGAACTGGGTATGTTTTGACATCTGTTCTGTGCAAAAATACTTGCATCTCAAGGAAGATCTGGTGCTTTCAATCTTAGTGCGTACATTCCTTAGGACAGTGCTGCAGGAGTGAGCTAGCCTATTCCTTTCCCTATACCCAGGATCCTGGCATTTTGGGAATCTGGGGAGATATGTTGTTAGGGAAAACCTCCATCCCCAGCCTTTCCAAACCCCCAAAGAATGTGTAGAACAAGCATATGTTCTGGTCCTGAGCTTTGAGCTGTCTGTCCCCATAATGCAAAAAAACTGCACCAGGTCCTCTTGGGTGGGGGCAGGAGAATGAGTTCAATGAGAAGCCAACCTCGTGGCAGAATGATCCAGCAGGTCCTGTTCTACGATGCCCTTCATGGTTTTACCAACACTTGGAGAGGCTTTTATCTCTCCAGTAAACCACCACCACCACCACCTGACCTTTGCAGGAATTGCCCATCAGGAGAGTTTCTAAGTTCTGAGGCCTTTCCTCTGTGTTTCCCACTGCCCAACGCTTGGTCACCAGAGGGACAGTTTACTGCCTTCTGCAGCCCTGGAGGAATAGCCACTTGCCAACTTCCTGCCTTCCCCCGGTGCTCCTTTTAGAATAGTGTGTCTAAGACGGTGGAGGTCTATGTGGTACAGAGAACCACTACTAGCATTCAAAGTTATAAAGTATTTCTTAAAGA